ATCATGCAGATCTGGTTCATCTCTTAGACCCAGAACTCATGTCCTGATCCATAGAGTAGGCATCAGAAAGTATTTATTGGATGAATGAATGAAATATTATATCACCTCTTTGTCTGTTATCCCGTTTTCTTCCTTCCCTTTCTTCTCTGATTTTTCACCATAATGAATGAGAAAGTATGGCCTAAAGAGGGCAATAAGTCTAGATTCTCTGTCCTGATATAGAAAAGTGTAATAAAAGTAGACTAGGATTCAGGAAGTCCAGTCTAGTTATATTACCAGCTGACTTATTGTTTGATCCTTGGTGATTGATTTTACTCCCTGGATCTTAGTCTATTTTTCCAATAGAGTAGGACATTAAAAATGTTTGAATTTATGATAAAATATAATAGTGGAAAGATCACCAGCTTTGTAATCAAACAGACCTGTGGTTGAATCCCAGCTCTCCATTTACTAACTGTGAGAATTACTTCCTTTTTCTGAACTTTGATTTCCTCATTCTAAAAATGGGAATGGTGATTCCTACTTTGCAGGGTTGTTGTGAGGAATAAATGAGCTGTTGTCATAATTTGAAGCTTTATAAGCACATTACATAGGTACAAATTATATCTTCTTTTACCTCTGAAATTCCTCTCAGCAAGACTTTTTATTTGCCGCTGGGACCTTCCCAACCTCTTCACCAGGGATCCCTGGTTTCAGTGTTTAATTTAGGCCAGTATCGTCGAGAGGCAGTGAGCTACAAGAACTACGAATTCTTTCTCCCAGACAACATGGAGGCCCTACTTATCAGGAAGTGAGTACCTAACATTTTAAGGACCTGCATTGCTCCCTGACTGAGGGAGGCCTTTGTTCAGATGAGGGGGAAGTAGGGCAGAATAGCTTGGGATAGCGAGGAAGCCCTCTAGACTCTCAAAGGATGGTTGAAACAGCTCCTCTACCACCCTAACCAAAGCCTATTTCTGGTCATATCCATCTTCTTCTTAAGATTTTTTAACAGTTTTTCTGTTTCTGACGGGAGAGAGTGGAAATTTAGCCTAGCATATGAAACAGCAGTCTCAATAGCTTGGCCTACTTCAGTCCCATCCATTCAATCTGAAGGTCTCTCTCCTCTACAAGACCCTTAGCACTTCAAGAACAGAGCCTGGGTCTCATTTATTGATCCACATCCTCATAATAGGAGGTAGAAAAGAGTAATCACTAAACATATTTTTGCATAAAGCATTAATATATTGCCATCGTCATACCTGTGCTTGCCTTGTTATATATATAGGAATGCCTTCTATATCATAGACCATACATATAGACCAGGATCTACTTGGATTCAAGAAGCAGAGCCTTTAATAGCATGACTCTGTCATTAGTCAACTTTTTCTGGGTGTTACTTTATACTTGCCCCTAAGATGTGCACACAAAGCCACTACAACCGTGTGACTCTGTGTTTGTCATAATGTCTAGAACATGGGACACCCTTTGTAGATGTTTAGTAGATGAGTTATTTAATGTAGGACATCTGAGAGATAGTGTAAAAGATAATGCAGGAAAACAGAGAGGAACCCATCTTGGGTATAGGGGCTGTCTCTGTTTCTTTCTTCATCTTTTTCAGGCAGTGTGCCCTGGCAGCCCTGAAAGATGTCCATGACTATTTCAGTCGTGAGGAAGGTCAAGTTGCGGTAAAGAAATTTGGATTTTTGCTTGCATTTCTGCTGGGATGGATAAAAACTAATATGTATTGTTTACTACATTCTATACATTATTCTAAGAACTTTGCACATATTAATTTAATTCCACCCTCCCTTATGCGATAGGTATTCTTATTATACACCATTTTATAGCCCCTTCTATATTCTTTATAGAATAATGCTGCACAGAAAGATTAAATATTTAAATAATTAAATATTTTCCCAAAGTAGCAGGCTAGAGCTGGAATCCAGGTTTTATAGCTCCAGAATCTACACTCTTTAACAACTATACTCTACCACTCCACACCCAAGAATTCAGCAGGAGTACACTAGAATTTAGGAGTGCAATACAAACATTTTTGAGTTCTAGAGATGTACCTAAACATCTAGTCAGTTTAATCTCATAGACCTTTGGTATAGAATTTGCAAACTGTAAAAGAGGAAGAAATCCCCAAATATGCATGTAGTCCCATATAAGGTGCTGATGATAGGAGTCATTTCTTGTTCTTGAAGAGCTCCAAAGTGATAGGGAAGGAAGAAATTTCACCTAGGAGTTGAGAAAATAAGTTCCAACTTTGCTCTCTCAGCAACTCTCAGTGATTTTAGTTAAGGCAAATCCTTCCTCTAAGCCTCAGATGCTTTACCTGTAAAATGGCCCTAATAAAACCCCACAGTTTTGCTCTTATCTTATTATGCCTACAGAGTCTGCTACATTTCTGACAGAGAGCAAAGGCTCAATGAGTGCTTGAGAAATTGATATAAGCCAATTCCAAATCCTTCCTATCCTTCAAAACCCTGTTCAAGGTCTGTCCTCTCCTGGAAGCCCTTCACTTATCACAGGAATGGTCAAAGAGTCTTATCAGAACCAGATTCAGAGTAAACCAATCTTAACATGTGCTTCTAGGTTTTTGATGCCACCAACACTACCAGAGAACGACGATCACTGATTCTGCAATTTGCTAAAGAACACGGTTACAAGGTACAGTAATTCTCCAACTATCTAGAGCCTACTTATCTGTCACAAATCTCAAAGAAAACCAAACCAGGGAATATAGAGATGCCAAATGAGCTACCATAGGCTCAGCATTTTAACTTGGTTGTAGGGCTTTCAAGGGCACAGTTAAAAGCAACAAGGCAGAACAGAACAGGAAAGAAGGGGTACCACATTAGGCAATGGAAGACGATTGCTGAAAAGCTGACACTGTGGGGATGGGGATGAGGAAGGTGGAGAGAGAAGCACTACAATTTAGGGCTAAACTGCCTCATAAAACTCAGAATCCTGAAAGCACCAATGTATGAAATTATGTTGTCAGAGATACCTGTAAAGGTAACTCAGAGCCATTAAGAAGGGGTCAAGCTATGTTTGGCTCCTACCAAATGTAATTCCCTGCTGGAAATCTCTTCTGTTTCTCTCTTATAGGTCTTTTTTATTGAGTCCATTTGCAATGACCCTGGCATAATTGCAGAAAACATCAGGGTAAGGAGTACCAGTCACCCATCCTTCTTACTTTGTCTCAGACTCAGATCATGCCTAAAAATACCTCTGTGAGGTTAAAGGAGGTATTCTACCCCAAGCTTCTCCTCTCACTTTCTATAGGAAGGATTCCTTGACCATCCTGGCATGCAATGATCCTATGAAATTCCTCTCAGTGTTGGAGAGAGGAAACTAAGATTACAAGAGGAGAAGTGAATTGTCAAGGGTTCATAGAGCCAGGGAGAGTTAGAACTGGGACTGGACCTCAAGCTTGGCTGTCTGCTTTAAAAGTTTTTTCTGCCCCACAACTCATATCAGAGCTATCCTTGCTCTTAGATTCTAGGCGTGTGGTCTAGATTTAGATCACTCATCACATTTTATTGTTCCCTATTTCATCAAATTACTGTAGCTCAGTGACAGAGGAGACCTTAAAAGTCAACTCCTTCAACACTCCATCAGAAACTTGAAATCTTAGCTAAATGTTTGTCTAAATTTTCTCTTCATACCTCCAGTGACAAAAAGCTTGTTGCCTTCATTAAATGGAGTTCAATCAAGCTAAATCTGCCTCCCTGTAATTTCCACTCATTGGTCCTCTTTTTGCTTATTGAGGCATAGAATCTGTTTAAATCCTTTCCTTTTCACCCACCCATCTATCCATCTATTTATTGATTCACTATATATGGAATCTATACACCTGGGCTGGGCCATTCTGGGTATCAGAGACATAGAAATAGATAGAGGAGAGTCCTATTCTTGATCTCACAGTCTAATGAGAGAGACTGACAACTTTATAAACATAACTCTGTGAGATCAGTGCTGAGATGAAGGATCAAAGGAGGTAATGGGAGCACAGTGTTGAGGACCTAGCCTTGCATGGGAAGAGTATTGTTGTACTGGGGAAAGCTTTTCAGTGCAGGTAATAGCTGACCTCTGTCTTGAGGAATGCATAGGAATATGGCAGGTGAAGAATGGCAAATGAGGATATACTAAGTATGGCATCTACAGAGAACTAGAAAGCTTAGGTTGGCTAAAGCAAGTGTGTGAAGGAATAGAGGAGCAATGGAAGATGAGGATGAAGAAATCATTTGGCGCCCAATCATGTTAAGCCATAAGTTACCAGCTAAGATGTTTATTTCACACTTCATCCTAAAAGATATGAGGAAATGGTGAAGAATTTTAAGCAGGGGAATTCCATGGTCAGATGTGCATGTTAGAAATATCTTTCTGGCAGCTAGTATGGAAAAGTAGCTAGACTGTAGCTAGAGTAACAAAGCCATAAGGAACATCCAGACAAGAGAGAATGGGGGCCAGTTGAGGAGATTTTAGAAAATAAAGTGGAGAGTATTTGATGCCTGCTAAAAAGTGGGAGATGATAGAAAGAGACACATCTAGGATGATTCCCAGATTCATCTTAGGCTCAGGTGACTTGAGGGGATGATAGTGCTATTCACTGAGATGAGTAATGTGGATGGAAAATGTAGGGATAAAGGGATTAGGAGATGCCAGCCCTTCAGAAATCTAAAGACAACATGCCATGTTATCCCAGTAAGCACTCATTACATATAAGCCATTATGACCCCCGGCCAAAATCTCTTGTCCCTCTTCTTCAACCATTTCTCACACCACAATTTCCAGTCCACTTATAAATGTTTCTCTCAAACAGTGTGTGCTCTAGAACTGAATATAATGTAATGGACCTTGTTTGACCACACAGAGATAATGAATGAGGAATCACACAGTCCAGATTCTCTTCAACTGACTGATTTTGTAAACCTGGGCAAGACTGTTTCTCCAACTCTCAATTTCCTCACCTTTATTATGAGGGATATGGTACTCAGTGATCTCTAAGGGCTCTTCCTAAGGGCACTGTTGGAGTCTCTGTCTCCCATGGTTCCTCTGTCCTTCTTCCAGCAAGTAAAACTTAGCAGCCCTGATTACGTAGACTGTGACCGGGAAAAGGTTCTAGAAGACTTTCTAAAGAGAATCGAGTGCTATGAGGTTAACTACCAACCCTTGGATGATGAACTGGACAGGTAAGAACCCAGAACCCCAAAGTGCAGATCTAGATCCTTATTTTGATGTCCTGTAGGACCTGGAGAAAGGCTCTCCCTCTCCGAGCCTCAAATTTATTTCTAACCTCAAGGAGCTGAACTTGATGATCTGTCTTCCAGGATCCTCACAGCTCTTATTATCCATGAGGTGGTGATTCCTGGATATATAAGGTGTTCACAAGAGGATTGAAGTGGTTTTTTCCTGAGCAATATGGACAGATTAGGACCCTGATCTCAGCAAAAGAAATGCCTCTCTTCTGTGGTTATTGCTATTATTTTCTGAAAAGTATTCTTCACATACAGGTGGTACTTCAGTTTCCAAACGTGTTCACCCTTTTTGTTTTATTGAATCCCCTTGGCACCCCTGTTAAGAAGGCTGAAATAGGTCTTATGATCACATATTTTCAAGAAGAGGAAATTGAGTCTTAGAGAGCTGAAACTACTTGCTCAGGCTCCCACTACAAGTCAGGGGTAGAGCTAGGATTCTAACCACATATTCTGTCTCCTAGTCATGCCTCTTTTCTCATTGCCTATGTACCTCTTTAATCAATAAGTATAAGGAGGTGTAAATAGGGAAAGAGAGGTAGATTATATCCTCAGGTATTTTCCATAGTGCTTTGGCATATGGGAAGACACATGAAAAATATGAAACTTTCATTCATAATACCAGCTAAAGATTGGAGAGGTATTAGCTAGTGGTACAGGGAAGATGTGAGTTTTATACATAGGATGTTCCTAGAACCTTACTTTCTTTCAAAATGGGTTGTGATAAGAAGAGATCCTGGTCACTTAGACCCTGTGAGCCCCAAGCAAGAAGTGTAAGGAGGCTTCAAATTGTCATTACCACCCTAAGAAGTTTAAAGAGCATCTTTTCAGCTTGTTCCAACTGAAGTCCTCAAAGGTGAGCATTGTTACTGCCTCACTCCTTAGATGGGGAAACTGACCCAGAGCAGGGCTAGGGCTTACCTGAGGCCACACAATGAGTCAGTAGCAGAATATATGCACAAATTCTTATCTTCAAACTTCCAGCATGGTTGTCCTCTTCCTACATCCCTATATCATAAAAAGTATCACATGAGGCATACACACTCAGTGCAAGGGGCAGGATCTTATGTACAATTGTGAATATCGTTCACCATGCCAGGACAACTAGGTCAAGTATACACTTTCTTTTCTCGCCAAGGCATGTGCACTAAAGTGGGAGAAAGTTTTTCAAATTTCCACAAAGGCATTGTATAAACTAGCAACACATAGTGAAAGAAGTTTGAAGGAGGAGCGCTGAAGTGAAAGAACAGCATTGAGAAAGCCCCTAACCTTTGGCCTAGACTCCTGCAGGTGCTCAGTTAGTGTCTGAGGAATCAGTTTGGGCCTGAAGACAACAGATTCTGAAAATTGGCTTTATTTAATCATTTTTTTCATCAATAGGTATTTACAGTACTATCCCTAAGCTATGCCCTAGGAACCCAAAGAGGGAAGGGCTGTCTCTGCTGTGATAGAATACCCACTCGACTGAGGAAGATGATAAGTATGTAGTTGATCAGAATTGTGGGACGGTAAACCAAGTGGGGTGGAGAAACGCAGAAGAGGGGACCCAGCCGAACTTGGAAGAAGAGGTCTAGAAGAGCATGTTTATCCAGTAGGTAGACTAGACATGTGTTTAGGGTACCAACAAGGTAGAATCTACCAAAAATAAGAAAACAATCTTGAAAGCTTTAAATATTTTGTATTTCAAAAACAGCATCAAGGTAGTCAAAATGGAAAAAAAATAAACCCAGAACTCAGTAGAACCTCCTCATATTTTAATATAGTTTATATTTTTTTATTTTAAATTATACACGATGGGGTAGGTATTAGCTACTATAATACTTTTGATGCAAAGCACCTCTAAATGACTTAGCATGATCCTAGGCCCCAAAAAACTTGCTAGAGAAAGTGAATGTACTGGCTCTTGAAAGATGGTTACAAAAGAGCTCAACTTTGGAAATAAGGCAAAGAGAACAGTACACTGTAATGGCCTAGTTAAATATGAATAAAAGTATAGGAGTGCAGAGAATATTCCATAAAAAGCATCAATGCTAGAATGAAATAGAGGAGTTATGAGCATGGGCATAGGGCAGGCAAGTGAGGCCAAGTGGGATGCCAATGTACGAAGTCACCTAGAATGTCAAACTAAGCTGAGGAATTTAGAAGTTCTAGAGCCACTCAGGACTTAGTGCTAGAAACAGACAATAACAAGTCTACATCGCATATTTTCTGCATAGGCTCTGAGAGACATAGATGAGATATTTGGAGGCAAATCACTTCCTCTCTCTGTGTTTCAGTGTCCTCACCTATAAAAAAAGAGATAATAATCTTTGCTTCCTAGGATGGTTATGAAGATTCATGTACTTTGAAGTCCCCAATCCCTGCCAGATGCACAAAAAATGCTCAGCAAATGCAAGTGGCCCATGGAAGTCATTGGACATGTATAACAAGGCTGGGCATGATGAGCATGGTGCAAATAGAAAGACTTTCTCTAGGAAAGTCAGGGAACAGGCTTTCTGAAACCAAACCATGAGCCACTGCCTTATCTGCTTTGGGTTAGTGCATCTATTTCCATTCACTTGGTTTTGTTACTACGTACCTAGAGTTGTTGGTGTGTCATTCTATTGCCCCAGCCTCTCCCACCTCTTCCCAGAGATCACTCTGAACTCCCTATAATCGAACAGCTAAAGGATTAATGCATGGCACAGAAGGGGCCCCAGGAGTCTTGCTCCATGGTTCTAGTCTTCTCTGATTAGTCAATGTCCCCCATACTCAACTCCTCTGCAGTCAGTTGTTGAATAGTTTATCACTCAATGTATACTTATTAGTTGTTGAAAGAGCACAGAATTGAGGGAATAAAAAAAGGCCTTAAAACAAGGGCCACAAATTCCCCACTGATATGGACCACTTCTGTATCCCTATGTCCTAGTACTTGCCAAATCTTAGAGTAAGTGACTATTTGTGGAATGAGTGTTGAGCATTGAGCATGTGTTTCCAAGTATATGTTCCTAACAGATCTAAGAGCTCCCAAAGGGAAGACTCTGAGACCCTACCCCAAGCATGATGCTTAGAACAAAGGAGAGTGTGTTTGTTGATTGCATGGCAGATAGGGAGATAACCCAACTCATTCTCCTTTCTGAGTGAGAGAGACATACACACAGACACAATCTTATAGCTGCCTGTAAAATGTCAAGTACAATATATCATAGCAGAGGTTCAAAGAATAGAGGGACAGAGCCTAGCTTAAGATTTGAAATAGTAAGGGACTGGATAAATCAGGAGCTGCCAGTGAGATATTGGAGGCAGTCAAAGACACAGAGGATTACTGCTTCTCTCTGAGGATGTCAGCAGTGTGAACCAAAGAGGAGAAAATCCCAGATACCTGGAGTGTGATGAGTGAAGGTAAAAAGACAGTGACTCAAACTAAGCCTGAGGAAAGGACACAAATGGAGATGGTAGCAGGCAGTGAGTTCCTGAGTGTGACCAAGAATCAAGTCTCTAGAATAGTTACTGAGGACAAGGCAAGGCATGGCATCTTGTTAGAGGAAAGGTAGGTGAGGGCTGGGTTGTGAAGGAGGCTTGAAGGCAGGGTGTGTGGTTGGGGCTTTCTCTTGGGATCAGTCTCTCCACTGTCAACCCCTGAGCTGCCCTTGCTCCTGCTTGGGCTGGCCCAGCCACCTGTCCTACATCAAGATCTTCGACGTGGGCACACGCTACATGGTGAACAGAGTGCAGGACCACATCCAGAGCCGCACAGTCTACTATCTCATGAACATCCACGTCACACCCCGCTCCATCTACCTATGCCGGCATGGTGAGAGTGAACTCAACCTCAAAGGCCGCATCGGAGGTGACTCTGGCCTCTCAGCTCGGGGCAAGCAGGTAGGGAAGGCCCTGTGCACCCACAGGCATTGGCTGAGCTGGTCCAGGTGGGCCGTAGGTGGGTGGGGTGGCCATTGTCCGG